TATTGAATCCCCTCACTTTTAGACTTAATGTAGTCCTAAAGAGGGACCATCTGAGCAACACTTTTTGGTTTTGAGTAGAAACACTATATTTTTCTAGCTTAAAAAAAATAAGCAAGATACTCTATTTCTTTGGCATGCTTACAGTTTGGTCCATCTGTTAGAGTGGCACAGTGCCCACTCACAATATGGTGTACCAGTTTCAACCAGGCACAGGTGCCAATGAAAGATCGTTTTCGTTTTCTGACACAAGATTTTTCTGGTGGGAAGCATTGCCCCGTTAGGGGAATATGCTTTGTTAGACTGATTACTTCTGTTGGCATGTGTGTATCTCATAGTAATAATTAGCACTTATGCAGTGGTTTACATTTCAAATCACTGTTTTAAAAAAAAAAAAAAAAAGAAGATTGAAGGCATTGCTGAATGACAGTCTTTTGTATCCATTTTACTGAGATTTCTGCAGTTAGGCGGAGGGCGGGGGGGTGTATGTTGTGCGTACTGACCCAGGAACAAGCACGAGATAAAATGTTTCTTAATTGAAATTCTTTCTCTTTGAAGTTTAATCACTGATGAATTATAATAAAATTGCAGTTCTCTGTATGACTGTATTGGCTTTTTTGAGGCTGCAAAAGAAAACAAAGAAACAGAGATTATGGTTTTCAGGAGGAGACCTCAGTTACAGAATCACAGAATGGCTGAGGTTGGAGGGGCCTTGAGGTCACCTGAGCTGACGTGCTCATGTGGGGTCACCCACCTAGAGCCAGTTATCCAGGACGGTCCAAAAGATGACTTTTGAATATCTCCAAGGATGGAGGCTTCACTGCAGGATTTTGCAGTTCCCTTTATTGAACCATATGAGGCTCCTGCCAGCCAATTTCTCATGCCTGCCCAGGTCCCTCTGGATGGTAGCACGACCTTCTGGCATATCAGCCACTCCTCCCAGCTTGGTACCGTGAACAAATGTGCTGAGGGTGCCCTCTGCCCCATCATACAGGTCATTAAGCAAGTTGTTGAACAGGACTGAACCCAGCATTGACCCTTGAGTACACTGGCCTCCAACTAGACTTTGTGCTACTGATCACCACCTTCTGGACCCAACCATTCGGGTAGTTTTCAGTCCATCTCATTGTCTGCACATACAGGCCGTACTTCAACACCTTCTCCAAGAGGATGATAGTGCCAAGGAGACCATGCCAAAGGCCTTACTAAAGTCCAGGGTTTTTATGCTCGTTATTTGGGTCCTTCATTATTTCTCTTTTGCTGAGTATTTTTATCATCTTTGAGAGTCCATGCTTAAGCTTGGCTTTACTTGGCATGCTTGAGACATTTCTGGCATCTGAGACTTGGGATGTTCACAAGACAAACCTGTGTCCACACAACTTTGAATGTATACCTATTGAATGGCTTCTGTTTCCTTTTATTTGGCTAGACCATTTCTTCAGACCAGGCTGGATGGGGCTTTGAGCAACCTGATCTAGTGGAAAGAGTCCCTGCCCATGGCAGGGGAGTTGGAAGTAGGTGATCTTTAAGGTCCTTTCCAACTCAAGCCATTCTCTGATTCTATGATGATTCCAGGATGTCAGTGGAATTCTGGCTTCTCTTTCATATGCTTCCTGGTCATTGCAGCCTGATAGTACTTCTGGCCTTAATATGCATATTTTTGTTCCTTCATCCAAATATTTAAAATTATCTATTGAAACCAGACAAAGGAAGGACCCAATAGAGAACATTATCTTTACTTTTTTTTTTGCACAGCGAGCTAGTATCTAACTGTAGTTTTCCAGCTGTTATTTGTACCCATTCTATATTAACTTCAGGCGGCTCATATTTTTTTCTGGCATATTCCACACTGTTTCCAATGGTTTTCTCATGCCTTTGTGAGGTCAAGGTATAGGACGTGTTTACAGCTCTACTTTCGTGGAGACTCTTTTTTTTTTCCTCTCCAAGTCAAAATGATACTTAGTTCTATATAAATGACTAAAATATTTATTTGGCAAACATATCCTTTTATATTTTAGGGTGTCACTTAGAAAATATTTTGTCAAAGAGGGGTTTTTTTCTGGGAAATTTTGACCAATCAGCGTAACTTTGTTTCTTAAGCCTATCCTTTCATTTTGTTTCCTCTAAAAAGTAGGCATGTGGGCATTGTTTTATTTTATTTCAAACGTCTGGATTCTCATGCGTTTTTCATGATTTCTCAGAGGTAACAGCTAAGATTACTCTGGATTGTATAGGACCTGTTGGAGTGAATTTAATCAATCATTGCAATTTATTGAGATTAACTTCTCTATGAATTCTGTGTCTTGTAGTTCACTATCTTTGTTTTGTTATTGCTCCCTTTCTGCTGGTGTTGTACTTGCCGTCTGATTGCAGCTGACCTTATCGTGAAAAAATTTACAGAAAAAGACACTTCTGTTTTCTTGGCATTGTCCATTTTATTTCTCAATGAGTATTAGAATAACTCCTTTCTACTCTTCTTACTGATATATCTATGGAATTTGTTTTTTATAGTTTTGTTTTTTATGTGCATTACTTTTTCTCCTTTTGTGATGTGACCTCTCTGATCTTGTTTTTCTGTATAAATGTTCTGCTGTTACACTTGTCCTTGATGATTTGACCTAGTTCTCTTTTTCCCATTACTCTTACATTTTGAATCATCAAAGCATTTGTGAATTGCCAGCTGGTCTCTTACTATATATACTTCCCACTATCTTCCGTGTTAAGACAGCATGTATTTGTGTACTACATACTGCTTCTGTGAGAAGTGCTTAGTTGTCCTGACTCCTTTCCACCAGAATTTGATTCTGAGAAGAAATCTCTCAGCAGAAGAAAGTTGACTTCCATGAATACAGTGAAGTCCACTGGCTGTCTTCACTGTTTTCACTTTTACATTTACTAAGGATGATTGATTGTCATTTTGTGAATACTGTCGATTACTTTGCCTTCCATCCTTGCATTATCTTTGCTAGTTTATTTCTATGTTAAAAAAAACAAACAAACAAAAAACAAAAAAAAAAAAAAAAAAAAAAAAAAAAAAAAAAAAAAAAAAACCAGAAAAAACCACAAAACTGGTTTTCTAGAACTGGCTGAACAGTCTTTTGTATTGTAGAGTCTGAAGATGTGAAGAACTCCTTCTTCAGGGAATGTGTTTAGGACAGATTTCTTTTTGTCTTAGCAATACTCATAGAACAAATGTTGAAGCTTTTTCCTCCAGGAGTTGCAATGCTCAGTTGTTCTTCTGTATAACATGAGCTGTAGTTTCCCCATTGCATTTATCTTTTCTGGTTCCAATGTTTCTTTAGTTTAATCATTACGTATTTTGTATTTCCATGTTTTGTTTTGCTAATTATTTAGAAGTGTATGACTCTTTCCTAAAAGAAGGCTTTATTTTAACTGTATAACATCTGCACCTCTGATGTTAAGTCTTACCTCACCTCTCGGTACATAATTTGGAGTGGAGGGAGAAGGATCAAATGCCTGCAGTGTATTGCAATGGTGAATCTCAAATCTTAATATTCACTCTGTTGAAGTTTTAAGTGTTAGGTAAGAAAGGACTGTTACAAGTAACCTCAAAACCCGTTCTTCTCCATATCTTTACGAAAATTTCTGCTCTCTGCCACAAAAGAAGTAGCCTGCTTCAAAATGAAAGAGAAGGCCAGTGTCCACAGATCCTTTTCACACTTGAGGTTATGGTTTGTATCTGACACAAGAACATCTGAGCTACTATACCTGTTTCCCTGTATAGTCAGGAATAGAGAGAGTTATTTCTCTGGAAACTGTTCAAATGTATTTAATTAAGTAATTTAATCCCTAAAACTGTCCTCTTCTCTTGACCAGTTACAAAGGAAGCCTAGTGTACTAGCTTAGTTGAAAGTGCCTACTTGTGGTGAAATTAATCCTAATCTTGCCATTTGCCCTTTCCATAGACCATTATTGCAGTTCTCTTTAAGCACTGAGGGTCAAACCTGCATTACAAGTAGAGAAGAACTGCTCTAGAGATCAAGGAAAGTAGGAAAGGGATTCAGTCAATGAATGTAGAGCTCAACTTTGTTTTTTGACATGCCAAGTCAAAGATTGATTCTTGTGATGCCTGTAGAGCCCATGTTACTTGAATCAAGAAACTGCCTCTGAATGAGCAGAGTGCTTCCCTCTGTTGCTTGCACCTGCAGAGTAGAGGTTGTGACAGATATGTTTTTATGTGAAGTACCCATGTACTCTGCGCACCTTGGCTGAAGAAGGATTTATTGTTATATTCATCTCAAATATGCCTGCTTGTAGTACGCAAAATCAGCTACATGGTACAGTCTTTAAAGACTTTTTTTTTTTTTAGTAGAAGCTGTAGTTATTCTTGATCTCTTAACCCCAGAGTTCCTCACCCTGCTGTAAAACTGCTTCCTGAGTGTGAGAACTAACTGCTTCTGCTCAGATGCTGAAATTTTTGAGCTCCATGGCATTCTATTGCAGTGATAATGAAAGTACATGAGGTACTTGCTAAATACAGTAACCCTGGAGAAGCAGCTCATTGTGCTTTTGTAGGTTAGACTGCAGTTAAAACAGTTTTTGTGGATGATACTTCATGAGTAACCATTAAAAAAGAAAGAATTTCTTGTTCGTATGGTAGCTTGGAAGAGAGTGGCCAGTAATGACAGAGCTCTAGCTAAGGATGATGAATGTTTCTAAATACTGGGAATTAACCTTTGCAGATGATGAATTGTGGAAACTATGTGGAGCTTCTGCCATTTTAATTAACTGGATAAAACACTTCGCAAATGGGGAGATTTCTAATGTCTTTGAGAACAGAAAATGACTGCAATAACGGGACAAATGCCAGCATATTGCAGGAGGTGTCCTATGCTTTTTAAGTCTCTATATCCAGATCTTGAGTGGTAGAAAAAATTGTGAGGTTAAATGCTGTTTATTTTTTAAATTCTTATTTTAATTTAGATTGCTAACTTTACCTTAAGTGTGTAAACCTAAAGTTATGGCATGCTTTATTTTGACAGATAAAGAAGGACATACATTTTCTGTACTCTGGGTGCTGGTGAGTGTTATCCTAGGTGCAATAGCCATGCTGTGCAAAGAACAAGGAATTACAATACTGGTAAGAATTGCATTATTGACTGAATTTTGACCTCAGATCTGTCAGATACAGTTGTAAAGCCTACAAAGATGAACCTTCTCCACAGCTAATGACACACACACCTTTTTGTTCTGTTCAGAAAACTAAATAATGTTGACAAAAAGCAGCATTCTAGTAGGTCTGTCTTGATTGTGTCCTTGCCAATTTGTTGATTTTTTTCATTTTATCTTTTGTAAGCAGGTCATATATATCTGGTAATTTTTTTGCAAAGTTTAAAAATTTTACAGTATTAGTTTCAGTGCATGTCACTTTCACTGACCTTGTTTTTAAATGTAATTGTTGAGATAGCAGGCCTGCAAACTTGAAGGCTTTTGGACAAAGATAGATATAACTGGATGAGAGCATTTTTGAAAGCTCTACCCACTTGCTTTTGCAAACATTATAATTAGAATTAGGGCCATTGTTCATGCACGTCTGATACCAAATCTCTTCCTTCTGCCCCTTATTTAAGGATCTGTCTGTGCAAACAGATACAGTTACTGTTCATGTTCATTGTATTCTGACTTTTTATAACTTCAATGAAGACATTCTGTTTTGAGTGACCAAACCAGCCACCTGAAATGCTGTATCTTTGATTTATATAGCCATATATCATTATAAATAAGTCAAATTTATAGCTTTAGCTGACATAGACAACCAACAGAATCAGAAAATTCTTTGCAGCAAGGATCTTCTTGTCCTTGCTAAAAAAAAGGGAGAAGAAATTACAGAAAACTTCTTGCTTTGGGACATTATTTTTGGATAAATGTTTGTAGGGTGATGTATTCTTCAAAGGTGTCTGTAAGGAAGACGTTCAGAATTTTCTTAAAAATATGGTGTAATTATTTCCTTTGGTAGTATGAAATAATTATTTGAGCTTACAGGCACAGAATTGTTTCTGGATTTGGGTTTTTTTATTTGTTTGCTGTTGCATTGCGAGGATGATTATATTTATTGTTGTGCTAACGGGCACAGGTCAGAGGGATGAAGGGGTAAATTGCACATTACAAGGGTTACTTGGAGACTGATTGTATTTTTCAGCAGAATTCTTCCCTTCCTATCGCCATTTGAGTGAACCAAAAACCTTTTAACTGCCAGGTGGCCTTTCTACATGGAACCAAGCCGCACTCTAACCTATCTTCTGTCCCCTTTTTCTGACTGTTAAAGAGCCTTGTGGCCTCCCAGTGTACCTGGAACTATTTTTCCTGTCTTTTTTCCACTTAGTCTTTAGAACAGTGAAGTAATTCCTGAAACTGTTAGAATATAGGCTCACTACTCAAAAATAATCATGGTTGGTAATCGCTGAAACTTTGTTTGGGAAATGCTAGTTTAATTTTGCTGATAACGTTGACAGAATTATCCCTGGACACATTTTGTGGGGGTAGTATGTGCAAGCGTAGTCCTGCAAAGCACTGAATATGCTCCAGTTTTATGTGTAGTGGCTGATGTCACATAAAACTTGGTGCCTTTTCTTTCCCCAGAAATTTGCATTGTGTATATTGGTGTCAGTGCAAGAAAAGCAAGCACTGACACCAGTATGATACCTCTGTTAAATCTTTCTAAGCCTTTGTCTGTACCCTTTGAAAACAGTATTTCTGAAACCCAACAGTCAAAACATACCATGCTGCACAACAACACACAAAAAATAAGTTGAAGGCTTAAGAAACTCTGCCTTGCTGACAGAAGCCTTACCTTTTGACTGCAGCATTTACACTGCGGTACATTTGGGAAAGAAGACGAAGAGCAAAATAATGTTGTGACCGTGCATATGTTATCTAGCTTGCTGGTACATGGTATTCCCTGAATGATTATTCCATGTGTCAAGAGAATTCCCATTGCAGTAAAATATTATTCTACTCATTTGAGCTCAAGTTCCAAATCTATCATTCTGCCTTCATTACTGTCAATGTATCTCTCTGCTTGCTTGGAACCAGAATTAAGATGTACAGTAACTTGTGGTAGAAGTGCAATTAAAGATGTATTTAAAAAGAAAACATCTGTGGTTCATCTTATGCTCTTATTTTTCTCTTGGTTGCTTAGGGTTTGAATGCAGTGTTTGATGCACTAGTGATTAACAAGATAAATCTTTTGGAGCTCATTCAAAAGTTACTACATAAGGACAAGTCGTTGGAGGTGAGTCATTAGAGGTTTTGTTCATTCTGACCATTCAGACAGTCATGTCCTAAAAGACAAAGAGCCAACTTCTCACAGTTTGTTGTTAAGATTTTTAAAAATAAAAGCTAAACACCAAAAAAGGTATTTTCAGTCAGTCTTGTAAGGCAATGTGCTATGACATCTTCTCAGCAACATGAACAGTAATGGGGTATTGTTAGAATTGCATTGGATAGTGAAATCCATTCCACAGTTTTCTCAACAGTATGTTAAAAATGTGGTATGGAAGAGCTGACTGCTTGATGCAACAAGTTTTCCAGGGTCAGTAGCAATAAACCTTAAATGGTACTTTAACATAGTTTGGTCAGAGTAAAGAGAGGGAGAGATGTATTCAGATTCTCAGTGAGATAGTTAAGACATTTGGAAAAATACAGTAAGAAAATTACTATGTTTAACTTTGCTAATTTCACTTAAGTATTACACTGGGTTTCTTTCAGAATAAAAATTACCCAACAGGAAATGCTTCCTAGTATCTTTGGAGTTGAAAAATAAAAAAAAATATGTAAGATCCAGTATTGCTAAGGATTGATTTTCTTTCGTTAATACCACTTTATCTAGTGTTATCTCAAGTGGAGTCTGGCGTGTAGTATTTGCATTGGCAAGCAAATAACAGAAACAATCAGCCTCAGATGAATGAATGATAATAGCCAAATAGACCAACAGCCTACTACAACATCACTACTGTTGAACAGCGAAGTCATTTGCCTCTCCCATCCAAGATTCAGCGTGGCAAAGGAATATGCTTTAATATCCTTCACTTCAATCAGTGGTTTCACTGCAGAGGAGTCTCACTCCTGTTTCTGAGTGACACAGTGCCTAGGGGACTTTTAAATTCCTTTGCGAGGAGTAAAGTGAGGAGTTTCAGGGGGAAATCACAGAAAGTGGAATCTCTAAAACTGAAACAGTAGACTTAACTAAGAAGGACTAAGTGAGGGATACAGGAGTATTCCAGGCAGCAAATAGGAATGATGGAGAGTTTTGCTGTATAATGAGAGTGGAATAAGTCGCCAATCAGCCTCTTATCAGTGCCTGTTAATATCATGGAATAGATCCTCCTGGAAGTTAAGTCAAAACATATGAACAACAGGGAGGTGATTAGAGATGGCCAACACGGCTTCACCAAGGAAAGATTGTGCTTGATTAATCTGGTGTCTTCTGCAGTGGAGTGACTGCATCAGTGTTCAAGAGAAGAGCTGCTGATGCCATCTACCTGGATTTCTGCAAGGGCTTGGATATGGTCCCTCCTAACACTTTTGTTGCTAAAATGGAGAGAGACAGGTTTGACTGATGTACTGTCAGATGGGTAAAGGATGGCCGCAATCAAAGAATTACAGTCAATGGCTTCATGTCCAGTGGAAACCGAAGTGAGTGATGTCCTCAAGGGTTCATACTCACACTAATTTTATTTAATATCTTCATCAGTGGCATAGATAGTGGAATTGAGTGCACCCTCAGCACATTTAGAGATTACACCAAGCTCAGTGCTGCAGTTGAGGGAAGTGATGCTGTAAGCTTGAAGAGAGTGGGCTTGTGTGAATGTCATGAAGTTCAAGAAGGCCAAGTGCAAAGTCCTGCACCTGAGTTGGGGCAGTCCCCAGTATTTCTATAGACTGAGGGATGAATGGATTGAAAGCAATCCTGCAGAGAAGAATTTGGGAGTACCGATGGATGAAAAATTTGATATGACTGAGCAATGTGTGTAGGTAGCCCAGAAATATCCTGGGGTGCATCAAAAGGGACATGACCAGCAGGTCAAGGGAGATGATTCTGCTCGTCTACTCTACTCCATCCTGCTGAGACCCCACCTGGAGTACTGCATCCAGCTTGGAGGTCCCCCAACATCATGAGGACTAGGACCTGTTGGACTGAGTCCAGAGGAGGGCCATGAAGATGAGAACAGGGCTGGAGCACCTCTCCCTCTGAAAACAGGGGTTGTTTAGCCTGGAGAAGAGAGGGCACCAGGGAGATCACCTCTCTAGGAGTGCTGTAGTGTTTGACGAGTAATAAATTCTTTACAATGAGGGTAGTGTGACACTGGAACAGGTTACCCAGAGAAGTCATGGATGCCCCATGCATGGAAGTGTTCAAGGCCAGACTGGATAGGGCTTTGAGCAACCTCATCTAGAGGCAGATCCATGACAGAGGGACTGGACTACGTGATGATTAGAGGACCCCTCCAGCCCAAACCACACTATAATTCTGGGAAATGTGTTAGAGTCAAACCTTCTTGGAGGATTGTTCTTTAAGCATAAAGAGCTCAAAGTGTAATGCTTCTGTTTGGTGACTTTTAGACAGTTCTGTCTTGGTGAAGAAAACATCAAATATGCCTTTGCCTTCTTTTGATAGAATTAATTAATTTTAGCTCCTGTTACTTACAAAAATCTGTTCTGCTCTTATAATGGAAGTGTATCTAAGATTCTTTTGTTTTGTTTTGTTGAAGAGCAGATCTTAAATGCTCCTTGCAGATTTTTTTTTCTTCTCGATTGAGACAGGTTTCAGTTTCATGCCAGATTTGAGTTAGCTCTAAATCAAAGAAGACGCAAACACTTCTTCCACTTTCAAAATTCTACCTACTAAGAGATTTTGTGTCGATTGTGAAATCTAGCCTTTAAGAAGCAGCATGTATTGTTAAATGAATTGAAGCCCTGGATAAGAGGTTTTATGTAGTTAATCTGTTATAAGGCAGTTATAAATTTTCTCTATGTGTTTTTTTTCATAGCACAATTTTATTCCAAAGGCCATTTTATAGGAAAACCGTTCCTAAATCCTCGTTGTTGTGACTTTGGATACTGAGATGTCCAAGTTGGAAGCAATCATTTGAGCACAAAGGCTAACTTACGTAAAATCAGAATTACAGACTTCTTTATCCTTAGGCTTTCAGCTAAATATTTTATGGTGACACTGTGGTCAACTAGAAATACTAAAAAGCCATCTGAATATTATTTTTAAATTTAACTTTTCCATCTTTTTAGAGAATAAATATCTTCAGACAAGGCACTACTGGATATCTGTCTTTGTGCAGTATGCCAACTTTTTTTTTTTTTTTTTTTTTTTTTTTTTTTTTTTTTTTTTTTATTTCAGACATAGCTAATATTGATTGCCTAAAAAACTACTGTGGTCCTTGCTAAAGAGCATATTCCAATAAGAGGTAAAAACTATTAGTGTGCCAGCTCCCTTCAAGGACATAGAACTGATCATGTGTAACTATTAGAGCAGGTTTAAAAGGGAATGGAAGCCTAATAGACTAAGGGAGGAAAGTAGGAATAAAGGATAATACTTGAAATTGCATGACCATTTTTTTTTTAGGCTCCAGTCAACTCTTCCTTGTTAAAATCCACAGTTTACTTACACTTTTATGTGTAGACAAGAAAGAGAAGTGGACCAAATGATCTCTCATTTCAGAGAAGCACTCCATCTGCTTTTCTGATGACTTGTTGAGGCTGCATAAAATAACTTCAGCCATCATATTTCAGAGAATTCTGAGGCAGCTCTACAGCACTTTAATATAGGGTGTCAGAAGAGAAGCTTTGTCCTTAATTTCCCACGTGAGTTACTGTTCGCTACCTAGATGGGGTGTTGGAAGCTTGGATTTGCATCTTAAAGCTGTGACTGGGATATCATTATACTGATGGTTCTATTTCCAGTCTCTGCTGGTGAAGCCTGAAGAACCTCTACAGTGTACAGTGGTTTTCGTTCCATTTATGAAAATTATATGTGTTATACTTCATGGGGAAAAAAATGTGAAAGTCTGTCAAATTTAGCTTCTATGCCATCACTTCTCTATATTTACTGTGAATCATCTTCTTTAGATCCTAAAGTGTATATTTTAAAATGTGATCTAAATCAACTGAGTTAATGTAGATCAAATACAATTTTCTTTTTTAATCTTGGGTTATTTTACCTTGAACTAAGTGATTTGAGTGCCTGTCTGGCATTGGATTTTAATTATGTTTTGGGCTGTGAAAATTTTAATTCAGTTTCTAATTCCTCCCAGTTTTTAACTGTGCAGTTTTCTTGGTGTATGCATTTTGCCTCTGAAGAGACCTAAGTGGACAAAAACTTTCCGTAACAAGCAGTCAATTGGATATAGCTATTTAAAACAAAAGTTCACAAAGTAACCACTCTCCATTTGAGAAAGAAAAGATAGATGAATTTAATAGGCTGTATACTAAAGGCTGTATTCTGCACAAATTCCCTATCAGAAACTACCACGTAAAATTACATCAGCAATAGACTTACTGAGGATTTGTAGAGGAGAGATTTCTTGAATAAAGAAGTTTTCTTTCTTGATTGAGAAGGAAATTCAAACGTTTGCAAAAAATATTTTGCTATAAAAATGTCAACTGTAATAGCAAAAATGCACAGGAATAACATCTTCTTTCTGAGATCGAGGTGAAAAGGACGTGAATGTAGTGGGTAAGAGAACAAATAACATTTCTATGTGAGGTGTTTTTTCTTTCTTTCATATAGAACACTGGGCAGTTAAGGAAGGGGCTGCTTTTCAGGATAACTCTCCTGATGTCTGGAGGGGCCAGTATACTTTATATACGCTGGAGGATTATGGGCACAGGGCCACCGGCTTTCACTGAAGTAGACAACCCAGCTTCATTTGCTGACAGTCTGTTTATGAGAGTAAGTTATGAACTTGTTTGTTTTTTTTCTGACCAGCTCAGAACATTTGTCTTTGTCATAAAATCGAATTTTCTGTTCTTTAAAGAAACAATAAAGTGGGCAATCTTTAAGTTTCAGCATGTGTGATAAGTCACCTTCACTTGTGCTCCTGTGAGGATTTGCTGCAATTTTTTTAATATACCTTTCTGCAATTTTTTTAGTATACCTTGCATATCCTTTGCATTCAATTTAGCATGCGCTGTACACATTGATGTACTTTTCCACTTATGCACTATTTTTGCCATGCATGCAAGAAATTAGGTTTTGCTGATTTTCATCCCTTTTCCACATACTGTGCTTGAGTTTTCATCTGTTCTTTCACGATTGAAGAAAATAGCATTAAGTTCTAGTCTGATGTATTTAGACTATGTCTTGGCTATATACCTCTGATGGCATTAAGGCTCTTTCTGGAGATGGAAAATGAAGGACGAAGGCAGTCGGTGATGTCTTTTTTGATGTTTTCTCCTGTAGGAGATGCTTCTTTTTACATGTGGGTATTGGCTGGGAAGCATAGAATTGCATTTCCCTGCTCTGAACAAGAGAGCCACCTAGCTATGTTTTAAAAAAAATTAATTTCACAGCTCTAAAGGAAATGTATATGTAAATAGTTGTAGTGTAAAAGTATTTATGGCCTCTTTATTGTATAAGATATGTTTTGTGATAAGGGAAATGAGAGAAGAGAGAAGGACTAAAATTGCCCCTCCCCCTCAAGTTTAGTATCAAATAAATGTTTGTTTTCTTTTTGACTGACAGGCTATAAACTATAATTACTACTATTCCCTGAATGCATGGTTGCTGTTGTGTCCCTGGTGGCTGTGTTTTGATTGGTCAATGGGCTGCATACCCCTCATTAAATCCGTCAGCGACTGGAGGATAATTGCACTAGCAGCACTTTGGTTCTGCCTAATTGGTCTGATATGCCAAGCTCTGTGCTCAGAAGACAGCCATAAGAGAAGGTAAGAGACAGTGATGAATTTTAAATGCCTGGCCAACTTGAGTACAGTATTATTTTGTTAAATCCACTAGTGATAATTTTAACAATTCAGTGGAACCAGTGTCTAGCAAATGCAGTTCAAATAAATATTTATAGCTGTCATTACAGTTTTATCCCAATTTGGGCCCATCACTGTATACCGACTAGTGGGAAACAGAGTTGGAGGAGGAGGCATGGATGGCTGCTCTATTTTTTCTCCTGAAATGGTATTTTGAGATCCTTAACACTGTAGGTGGTAAAAATATGTGCTCAAAACACAGTAGGAAATTGTGTATGTTGTTGCCCTTACTTCTTACAAGTCATCATTTCCTTTAATCTTCTCCTAATAATGAGAGAGGAGATGTGCCTTTCAGTTCTTTAAAAATTTTCAACTTCTCAATCATAGAATGGTTTGAGTTGGAAGGGACCTTAAAGATAAGCTAGCTCCAGTCCTCATGCCATGGACAGGGACACCTTCTATGAGGTCAGGCTTCTCAAAGCTCCATCCATCCTGGCATTTAACGCTTCCAGGGATGGGGCATCCACAACCTCTCTGGGCAACCTTTTCCAGTGCCCCATCACCCTCACAGTGAAGAATTTCCTTAGATGTAATCTAAACCCATTGTCTTTCAGCTTAAAGGCATCAGCTCTTGTCCTAACACTACATGTCCTTTTGAAAAGCCCCTGTCTAGCTCTCTTGTAGCCCCCATTAGGTACTCAAAGGCTGCTAGGTCTCCCTCGAACATTCTCCTCTCCAGGATAAACAACTCCAACTCTCTCTGCTTGTCCTCATAGGAGAGGTGCTCCAGCCCTCTGATCATCTCCATGGCTCTCTTCTGTGTTCACTCAAACAGGTCCACATCCTCCTTATCTGGGGACCCCAGAGCTGGATGCAGCACTCCAGGTGGGGTCTCACAAGAGCGAGTAGAGGGGCAGGATCACCCCCCTCAGCTGGCTGGTCACATTGCTTTTGATACATCCCAAGATATGATTGGCTTGTAGGCTGCAAGTACACATTGCTGGGTTGTCTTCAGCCTCTCATCAACCAACACCCCAAGTCCTTCTTCTCAGGACTACTCTCAATCCATTTTCTATCCAGCTGGGTGCAGGACCTTGCATTTGGACTTCATGAACTTCATGATGTTTGGACTAGGCTACTTGTCAAGGTCCCTCTGGATGGCATCTCTTCCCTCCAGTGTGTCCTGCACAGACAGCTTGGTGTCACCTGCAAACTTGCTGAGGGTGCACTCAATCCCACTGTCCATGTCACCAGCAAAGATGTTAAACAGAACTGGTCCCAGTACCAACCCCTGAGGAACTCTACTTGTCACTGGCTTCACTTGGATATTGAACCATTGGCTGCAACTCTTTGAGTCTATCCAATTTCTTATTCACCAAGTGGTCCATCCATCAAATCCATGTCTCTCCAATTTAGACACAAGGATGCCATGCGGAACAGTGTCAAATGCTGTGCACAAGTCGAGGTAGATGACACCAGTTGCTCTTCCCTTATCCACCAATGCTATAACACCATTGTAGAAGGCCACAAAATTTGTCAGGCACAATTTGTCCTTAGTGAAGCCAGACTGTCTTTCACCAATCACCTCCTTATTTTTCATGTGCCTTAGCATAGTTTCCAGGAGGATCTGCTCTATGATCTTGACAGGCACAAAAGTGATCTACTGACCTGTAGGTTCCCGTTTCTGCCTTTTTTTCTTTTTTAAAAAATGGGGATTATGTTTCCCCTTTTCTAGTCAGTAGGAACTTCACCAGACCATCATAACTTCTCAAATATTTTGGCTAGGGGCTTAGCACCACCTTAGCAACTTCATCCAACAGTTTCCTCAGGATCCACAAATGCATCTCATCAAATCCTATGGACTTGTGCACCTTCAGGTTCTTTAGATGTTCTTGAACCTGATCTTTTCCTACAACAGGCAGTTCTTCATTCTCCCAGTCTCTACCTTTGGCTTCTGTAATTCGAGCGGTGTCGCTGGAGCACTTGCTGGTGAAGACTGAGGCAAAAAAAGTTGTTGTACCTCAGCCTTCTCCATGTCCTGGGTAACCAGGTTTCCCATTTTCTTCCAGAGAGGACCCACATTTTCCACAGTATTCCTTTTATCACCAACATAGGTCATTCTGTTGTTCAGAGTGAAAATGTTTTTCTTTTCTGTGGTATTCTGTAATTTCATCTATTCCCTCTCATCCCCTCAAATGTTAACAGCCCACCTGCCTGCCTTCCTGCTGTTCCCATAGTTATTTGCACAAATAAATCAGTTTGGAGGGGGTTGGAATTCTTGCTACAAGTGGTGTCATAATTGCTAGTGAAAACGCACTCAGTAAGCATATATTGCTAAACAGTTTGTAGTAAAAAGTAAAGACGTCATGCCTGCAACCTTTGAAAGAAATACCTGACCCAGGCCTGAGGTTCTTATTCCCTTAGGTCTGTAAAACTGAGGTACTTAGTCTCATTTGTCTGAGCTCTGTATAGTTCACAAAGAGTCACCTGCTGCACTAACTTCGATACCTCAAACAAGGAAGACAAACTGCCCTTGAAAAGTGTGTGTCTCTGCTGACTGTAGAAAGACCTTAGATTGCTAACTTTCAAGTGGTTAACCACAGTGGATTCTACTATTGATCTGTTTGTTAGGAAAGAGAACGCTCTCTCAGTTGGATGTGCACCTAGGTTTCTTTTTTAACAGTGATGTATGTTTTTTCCCGTTACTGTCTTACTAGTTCCAAAAATAGACAGGTAGCTTTTACCATTACTTTTCCTGCCTGTGTATTTTAAATTGGAGTTATATAATTAATGTGTAATGGGGCTATTTTCTGGCCTGGAAGCACGAATATTGCTTTTCTAAAAATTACAGCAATGATTTTAAAAATGCCTGATGGAATGAAATGTCAAAACCTCACTGAAATTTAATCTGATCTTGTTAGTAGCTCTCAAAGACTGTGTTTGAATGCCCTGTTCCATGTGCACATCCTTCTAAATGTTTATTTAAAGTTTATTTGTTAAGTAGAAAAGGTAGCTTTTGTTAAAAAAAAAAGGAAATATTTTGTTATTATTTGTGGTTAATTTGGGAATCTGTTTCTTGCTTGCAGAATCCTTACACTGGGACTTGGATTTCTTATTATCCCTTTTCTTCCTGCAAGCAATCTATTCTTCCGGGTGGGATTTGTTATTGCAGAGAGAGTCATCTACCTCCCCAGTATTGGATATTGTATTCTCTTTACATATGGATTTAGTCTCTTGAGTAAGCAAGCCAAGAAAAAGGTACCATCAAAACAATCAGTTAAGCTGATGATGGAGTGCTTCAATTGAAAGATTTGTTTCTTAACTTTCCTCTCTTTCCTTAAGAAAATTCTTGCTGTGGCAGTACTTGGAATCTTGTTGATAAATGTTATGCGCTGTGCACTCCGCAGCAGTCAGTGGAGGTCAGAAGAACAGCTTTTTAGGAGTGCACTGTCTGTGTGCCCTCTGAATGCAAAAGTAAGTCACTCATGGACTTCTAATAATTTTTTTTCTTTTTTTTTTAAGTGTTTTGAAATTTGAGGTCAAGGAGGTGCTATGCATAGTTAATATATTCCACTACAGTGTTATTCACAGTCTTGCTTGGTGCAAGAGTGACATTGACATGTCAGACACCTAAATTACAGTGGTAGCATACTCAAATACCAGACAGTGCAAATTACAATATTGTGATTCAGAACTTGGAGGTGGGAGTGGGGAGGTGAGGGAGGAGGGAGAATGCACTTCAGGAAAGGCATTAAATTGAATGTACTGCTGATAAAATCTACTTAAAAGAATTGTGCATATAATTGTAAGTTATTGCATCAAAAATGTCAAAAAGAAGCTAAGTAAGTTGTAGCAATGTATTCAACTGAATAATGCCTATGCTGTTTTTAGAATCTTTTTTGTGTACCTTCCAGTGGTATATAAAGCCAGCACAGCTATAGGACAAAGCACCATCTCATCAGTGTAATCTCAGGATGTGGGGGTAAAATCTTTGCTCCCACCTCTGCTCTTTTGAAGTGGCTGAATGGGCTAGAGTCTTCAGACATGGGCACTGAGGAAAACTGCAGTTTTCTCTGCAAGGCTTAGTGAGGGAACAAGTAAGAGGTGGGACTGGATAGGATGTTTCACTGAGCTGAACAGCAGTGCTTGGCATCGGAGACTGAATCTAGCCTGCCAACAGAGGTGACCTCCACAGCAGTCCTTTGACAGCCAAGAGTGTGATGCTGTCTGAATTTTAGCAGAGACTCTCTTAGAAGAGCCTGGGAATGGGAATGTGCAGCTTGTCAATAAAAATACATTGATGTTAAAAGATTTCTGTAATCTAGACTGGTATCTAGACAATACAGATCAAGACACAGACTTTAAAAAGGAACCTGTGAATTCTCAACTTTGCAAAAGAGAATGATAGATGTAGCATTTACTGGGATACAAATATGCAACAGTTAGCTGTAAAAAACATTTATGGCCAATATTTACAGCATGGTGGTGTCTTTCAGTAATCTCAGATTTTAATACATAGGAAAAGAGCTTTTGTATTTTATTGTGTGGCAGTGGTAGGCAGCCATCTTCTTTTTAACGATGACCTCAGTATATCTTGTCTTCTGGATGACAAGCACATACTATAAATGGAGCAAATGCAATCTGTTTTCTTTGTGTGTAACTCCATCCATCTGCCATGGTAAGAGTGCTTTAGACAGATCCGCACTCTTTGCCTGTGCTCCAAACTCTTTGGACTCCAGCCATGTCTGGCTGGGAAGCTGTGTAGCTCTGCTCCCACAGTACTGTGCTTGAGTCGATAAGCTGTGTGCAAGCTACTGAACTAATGCAGCTGATTTAAAGCCAATGAATGTACAGGGAAAATGAGCTTGTGTTTGTCAACACTGGCCTCTGTAGACATGCCTGAGCTGTATTTCTGCTGGTGACAGCTCATGCAAATGGGAAGCATGGTGATGTGAACAGGGAGGGGTTTGTAGGCTCACATTCCAATTTTGCTCAAGGAGTAACTTTGAAATCACAGTACTAGGGAACTTTCCTGGGCAAAAATATTAGAGAGCACATGTGTGAAATCCAATCTCTTCTTTTCTTTATGGACTCAGCTGTATTTATTCAATTTTGACAAAGGTAAATGTAAAAATTGGAACTAGGTTCTGTTCTCATCTTCTGTTGTTGTCTTTGAAATTGCAGCCTTCCTTTAAAAATTACTCCACAGGACTTTCTTTCAGTGACCCATTTATTTCAGTGGGAGGCTGGTGAAGACCAAAGAATGGAACATATATAATAGCTTTTTCTTGTTGTTCTTGGAACGTATTTAATATGTGTAATGTGGTCATGCTTTACTTCTATTATGTAGCAGGGTTTCAAAATCTCAACTTTTAACTAGCAACAAAAGCTGTTCATGTTTTGTGGTACAGCTCTTTTCAATTCCAAATTGTCTGTGTGAGAAGCATAGAGTAAACTTACTCGAATTCTAAATAACAAGTAGTAACAGCACTGCCTTCTCTAATTTCAAGACTCATCTTCATTAAACGTATCTTTAGATAGATGTGAGGAAACTGCATTAAATGAGATTGTCTGGCATAGTAGTGAGTGAATCTGCTGCCTTCAGTGATGATGCACTTGGCTCAAGAGATGAAATTTAGGATCAACTTTAATAAATGTTGCCCAGTGATAAAAAAATTTATAGGAAATAATGAGGTACTATAATGTAATCACAAAGATTTTGATACAATACAGATTTTTTTAATGTTTTGAATATTTTAAATTGTATTTAAAATGTTATTAAGATATTTAAATATAGATATAATATATAGATTGGTTACTTGCCTGGGGTGTTTTAAGAGAGAGAAAGAAGTATGTTACTGATCTTGGCTAAGTATGTCTAGGAGCTCATCACACATTTGAACATGCATGGCCCTGCACTTATATTGGTTTCAAAGGTCATTAGACTGAAACAGTATATGTTTTGAATATATTTAGTACTGTTGTCTTTAGATGAACCGAAGGTGACTGTATATTGATTCCATTTCCTCCTATCATGCAGTTTATACATTTAGGGTATTTCAGCAATACAGACATAAAAAGCTCACTGGATCCAATTTGGCATCTTTTCATTTGATGTCATTATGTTGTGAGTTCATCCTGGAGTGCTTTGTTGAAGCACTGGAATATCTAGTTACAAACTGTGATAAAAGCATAAGTACTGTTTCACCATATCAGACTACTGGCTTGGATTTATGTCCTTAGCTTTAGATATCTACATCCGAGTGAGTCAGTCAGCCTTGCTATATAACTGGGGAGAAGAAACTGTTTCTTTTAGCATGTGGTTTAGCACCTTGGACTAAATGACTGACATAAGCCAGGACTGTACCCTAGATCTGTCTGTTTCTTTCCACTGAGGATAAAGGAAGTCCTGACAACTAGAGCATATGTGTCTACACAGCCACCAATTTTCTTTTCCTAGATTTCAGATAACTGAATGTAAATGATTATAAATTGCTGTTATTTTGTATGTAATCTCTCCATTCTCCTTGCTACTGGCTTTTCTTTAAAGGATAGAAAATAATAAACATAATTTTTGGAAAGCCATTTCAGTAGCAACTTTTCAGCAATAATAAGCAAGAAAATTACAATACTCCCAACAGAAGGTTACTGACTGTCTGCCTTGAAATACTAGGGTAAGTAACTTTGCACTTGATGCTTTGTGCAATCTGCAATTACTGGAGATACAAGTTTATACAAGAGACAGGCTATGCTAATACCAAAATCGTACAGTAAGAGTTTGTGAGATTGCTTTCTGTACTTTCTTAAAAGGTCTTGTAAAACCTCTTTGTTACAGAACAAGATTTAGTGATGTCTAAGGGTCTGATCTTTGTTCCTTAAGGAAGCTGATCTAGAGAGCATTTCCTTTAGATACTGAGATTTTTTTTTTCAATGCTGTATATCAAAACATTCCTCTTTTGAGTGCTCTGGGCTGTGTTTTTAGGGGGTATTTGCAGCGTTTTGCCACCATTTTGGATATCAATTTTTGTGTATACAAGCACAGTCATGCAGAAGAGCCTTTAGACAACATTAGCTACACAAACAAGATTTCAATATCAAAAAGCTTTATTATTATTATTATTATTATTATTATTATTATTATTTGGAAAATATAATTTCAGTCGTAGAAGAAAGAGAAGAGTGATGACAGAAGCTGGCATTTAACAGAAGCATCTGCATGTTTCTGAAGAAATTTTGACATCTGTGCTTTGTTTCCATCCTCAGCAAATGTTCATATTTGCTGAAAAGGTGATTACAAGTACCTAGGTTGAGAGAATAAAATTGGTGATAATAGCAGTGCTCCAACTGAGGGCATGTACCTCCCAGAAGATGATACTACATTTTAATATCCTCCAATAGCTGCTTTGAGTAAAAACAAAAACATAAAAACAGTTTTACGGTAATTTTATTTTTGTACAGAAAAATATAATTTTTCTTTCTCGTTTAAATGTGTGTGCATATTTAAGCATTTAAATAAGTGTTCAAGTACTGTGTTTCTCTAACACAGAATAATATACAGTGATTTTTCTTTTTTGTACTGGCTTCTTAGGCTGATTGAGGTGTTGCAAACAGACAGATACATAGAGCCAGTTCTTTGGCTAGGCTCTGGTGCTGTGGTTATGTTAGCTTAAACAACACGTGTCTGTTGAGATCAAGTAGGTTCGACCCTAGGGTATTTTTACCTGATTGCCCTGATTTCAGAGAATACTGTTGTTATGCATCCCTGAGAAATGCTCCTTTTAGAGCTATTACTGTAAAGTAATTGCCTGTTTAAGATTGATAAAGAAGCATCTGTGTATAATGTAATACATCATTTCCAGTTAATATTTAATCATTTAATAATGAATTGCAATGCCTGCTCTTAAATGTTTAACCAGGAAAGGAAAATCCTCCCTTCCAGGCTGGCATGCACAGTATCTGCCAAAAGCAGAAGAACCACACCTCTAGACATGAAATTTAAAAAAACTCATTTTTAAAGACCCCTCATTTTTAAAGACCAAATTCTTCCCACCCCAAGTGCTTCCCACAAAGCACTTGTGTCCCCTTGTTGTACAGGGAGAGATCATAGGAGAAGTCAAGGAGAGTTACAGTCTTGTGCTTAGCAGATGCTTAGCAGGTAGTTATTGCAGGCCTGGTTTGGGTGAGCTAAAGGCTGGTCTTGGCATCTCTCTGTCATGGCCAGTAAAGTGAGATAATACATTGTAGAACTGGTTTCGGATATTTATCGTAGGCTGGGGAGTTTTTTTTGTGTTTGGTTTAGTTCTTCTTCTCTTCCCTTCTTTGTCACCATAATATTAAGAGGAATTAAAGCTACCATTTCTCTTGAAGAGAAATTAGAAAACAAATACAACAAGGAGCTCTTCATTTTCAGAAGTATTGTATAGAAACATCATTTCTTTTCACACAGAAGCTATAGCTGAGGACAAAATAAGTACACCATTGAAAATACCAGTAGTTTGTTTAAACAGTTGTGGTATCAGTTTTAATAGTCTTTTTAGTTCAGTTCACAAACATACGCGTGCACATAATATTTCATTTGATGCTTTGACTTGAGAGAATCAATCTCTCTCACGTTTCTGCAGACTGCACAATTCTTTTAACATGAGAAAAATATTCTTGCTGCTACTACTTTTGAGATAAAAATGGGTATTAAGACATGATATGTTTAAAAAAAATGAGAAAAATAAATTCAGAAAGTGAAATGCTGTTTCCTAACGTAAGACAGCTTACATGTGAAAGACTCTGAGGGGTTGGTGTATACCAAGATTTTTCTCATCTGCTTTGTCCCTGGTCTTCAGTCAGATTTCTTTCTTCAGTAATGCTTATGACTTTTGCAAAATGTGTTTAAAAAAATTAACTTTCATAAAGCTTCTTAAAAAAAGAAATTGAATCAAGTTAATTCTAATTTTGTTTGTTGATATTGAAGTGTAAAGTCAGGTACTTTATGGGCTAATATACATTATTCAGTGAAATCCTTAATTATTGCTTCTGTTTTGCCACAATGTATCTTTTATCTGGATAAATTTTGAATATGTAAACTTCAGCATAGATAATCAGAGCAATCCAGTTTGCTAAGAATGTTATAGTGTTCTGAAAAATTTCTGGAAGAGATATACAAATACAAGTCAGTCCTAAGAAACATCTTTCAGGGTACTTCATTTTACTTTAATGACCCCTGGGAAAATGTTATTCTATCTTTTGGAGTTTTTTGACACCGTCAGCTGATCTTTATGTTTGGTTATATCTTGATATAAACGTACCATTCCATTGCTTCTTTGCCATGGCCTTGTCATATTTTTATGCATGTACAATGAAAGTACCAGGACTTTTTTTTTTTTCTTGGAAGCTGTGCTAGAATTGCTTTTATGAGATGCTGAATTTGTGTGCTATTTTATATCCTACAGTGTGAGGAGCGCCTCTGTGAATGTTTAGTAAGCTTTATAGCATGTTTACTGTCCATAAAACCAGTGAAATACTTTCTCGCCCATTCGAAAAAGCATGGAAAATGTTCTTAACTTTATTTGTTGATGTTATGTTACTGCAGAGTCACAATCATATATAGAGACGAAATTCAAAAAATAAATATCATACCACCTAGTTTCAAACATAATTCTATGTGGTGGATCAATAGGTCCCAGATACTGTGCCAACTGCATTTAGGATTTTTCAGGTGATGGACACATCAGATAAAATCCTTTTTTTGAATGTAGAAGGTGAATTAGAATTATCTAAGTGCATTACAAACCTGTCTTTTTGGACTTCAATCTGAAATTATTCCTGCATGGTGTATTTGAAGAGATTTAAATTAGATTTTTTAAAGTGTGGAAGAAATTAAAATGTGTGTTTGTTTTAAATGAAGTATATACAGTTTGGTTTCAAATAGTAAGGTATTCAACCTAAATGAGTCCTGATCTAGTTGCTGAGAAATCTCTTTTCAGGAATCAGCACTCTCAGTACTTACCGACCAGGTAATGAAGAAGATTTGTCTTGAAGTAGGATTTGAGATGTCTTCTCAGATTTGTCCTGAAATACATTTATTCCTATCTAGACCTTGACATAAGTTCAGATGATGTATCTTCTTCCTTGTAGCCTGAAAGCTCTAGATCAATCCTTCCTTCTTTCAACAGGCAAGGGCTTCAACATATTGCTGTACACATAATTTCAGAAATGGTCTTCAATACGTTTTTATCCTAAGACAGCAATTGTGTCTGTTATTTTTTGTTTGTTTTTGAAATATGTAACTTAGCTTTTCTGTGAATGTTGAGTTTCTTCTAGTTTAGGCTACAATGAAAGCAAAGTGTAATCAACACATTTCTGTTTCTTCTGCTATTTGATTTGAGTCAGACCTTCTCTTACTTACCTGACAAATAAATGAAATTAAGAACAGGAGGTCTCCATACAAAGTATCTTGTAGGAAGTGTGGTGACCTCATTTCTAAAACCAGGAAATGAATAATCTTTCTTAAATGGCTGTAACAGGCAAGCTGATTTATTACTTTATTCCTCAGATTTTGTCTTACTGTCTTCATTGTGTGCATTGTCCAATCTTAAGTATCAGCCTACACCAAAAGCCAGCAGTGAATGACACAAATGCTGACTGTTTCTATTTGGAGAAGGAACTTTTAGCTATTTGGCTCCTCAAAATATTATGACTGTTTGGCATCTGGTAGAATGTCCATCTATGTTTTCAGGTGCACTACAATGTCGGCAAAAACCTGGCTGACAAAGGAAATCAAAGTGCTGCAATCAAATACTACAGAGAAGCTGTAAGGTATTAGGAATTTTACTGCTTTAATGATCTGTCCTAAAATTGCTTTCATGTTCAACATGAAGAAAATGCTTAGGTATTCATTTTCATGTTCTGCAGCATTGCAGAGCTAGCAATTTGCATATATTAATACATGTCCCATACATAATAATCATCTCTTAAATTTTAAATTTTAGGTTGAATCCGAAATACGTACATGCCATGAACAACCTTGGAAATATTCTGAAAGAAAGAAACGAGCTCCACGAAGCAGAGGAGTTGCTGTCCTTAGCTGTACAAATACAGTATGTTTAGAACAATGCTAAGCAGTGTTTTGCACCAACTGAGCTGAAATAATACAATAGGATCTTGTGTTTCAAATGCTTAATTGTCCTCTCTCGGTGTGTTTTCCCAATTTGCTCAGACCTGATTTTGCTGCTGCATGGATGAATCTAGGAATAGTACAGAACAGTTTAAGAAGATTTGAAGAGGCAGAGCAAAGCTACTGGACAGCAATTAAACATAGGAAAAAATATCCAGATTGTTACTACAATTTAGGGCGGTTGGTAAGTGCTTTTGAATAAATGATAGCTATGACTGAAATCTGTCCATGTCTGTATGTGTGTGTGTGTATATATATATATATATTTATTTATTTATATAATTCTGCTGTACTGTTAAAAGCTGTTATTCCAGTTTGCTTGTATTGTATTTCAGGATGATTTCATACTTCTGGTAGCTTTTCCTATTGCTTTCCTGGTATACTTCCTTCCATACAGCCTTTGGTAGTCCTCCTTCTTCATATAAAGAGGTGTAAACAAAAATACAGATTTTGGTGCCTTTTTTTTTAATATATTTCCCAATATTAGACTGTTTTGCACTCATTAGTATATTGTTTGGTAGTAGAACTATTCTGAGAAATTCAAATCTGAGTTTTGGAAATATTTATATTAAATATTTACTAATCCTCTTGTGTAGATTTCTAAATTTTATGCTGATTTTTCTCCCTATCCTATTGTTACACGCATATTTAAAGACAAGCCTCGTTCCCAGAGAAAATCAGAGGAAAATCAGTATATGTCGCTCTTATCTTCCGGACTACCATAGTATTCTTTTTAAATTTCTACTTTTATCTGTAAAAACAAGTCCTGCTAGAATGGAATGAGACATTAACAGCTCTTCAGTTCTTTCAGTGCATGATAGGAAAGTAAAGCATATCATAGCAAAATTGCAGGGTTTTTTTTTTCGTTTCAGTATGCAGATTTGAATCGCCATATAGATGCATTGAATGCGTGGAGGAATGCTACTGTCCTGAAACCAGAGCATAGTTTGGCTTGGAACAATATGATAATATTGCTTGATAACACAGGTAAAAGCCTATTCTAATGTTTTAATGAATAATTCAGTGTCTAGGAAAACTTAAAGCTTTATCTGTATATATCTTAAGGAGCTCTACCTCTTCTTTGGCTACCCAGGCATTCTCTAATAATATAAGAATACCTTCTGGCTCAGTGGTTTTAAAGCATCACTTGAAATCCAGCACATAAATTGAATTTCTGATCTTTACTTGAAATACCATCATTGTGCAAGCATGTTTGTATGATAGACCAAATTTCAGAACTTTTTAATCTTTTGTGCTTTGTTGTTCTTCTGAAGGTGTTATCTGTTGAAAACAAAATGAAGACTTTCTATTGTCTTAGTCTGAGGAATTTTACATTTGTGTGTGATACCTGGCTTTCTTTAAAAACTCATGCAATCAGCTTTTTATAAAATATGTGTGCTTCAGCATGAAAAGCAACTAATAAAGCTGTGTTAAAACATGCCTTCTCTTTTACCCCTACCTGGTCTCGCAGGCAATCTAGCTCAAGCAGAAGCAGTTGGAAGAGAGGCTTTGGAATTAATACCTAATGATCATTCCCTTATGTTTTCATTGGCAAACGTACTAGGGAAATCACAAAAATATAAGGTAGGTAACTAGAGCTTTTTGACTGGAGGGTTTTGTGTTGGTTTGGTTAGGTTTTTTCTTATTTAAATTCCACCTAAGTTTTTTTTAGAAACCGTTTGAGGAGACCATTGCTATTGCTTCAGTAACCAGGTTTTCAATAACCAGACTTCTGTCACAGTATTGGTGTGTGATTCTGGCCTAAGTTTATCCCACCTTATTTTAGATGCCTGGGTTACAAATGTTGCTACCCTACACTGTGTCAGTGGTCAGTGGAGGAAATAGGCTCTTAAGCACACTAGAGGGCAGTTATGGTCTTGTGTTGCTTCACTGCCGAGGGAGAGGGCCTGCTTTGAATTAGAGGCCTTATTTCAGGAATCCAAATTAGATGGGATAGACTAGTCTTGGTCCTTTTGGTATGTAAAGGAAGCAAGATGTACCATTACCTCGTATGAGTTCTAGCCTCCTTGCCTCAGATGCTATCTAAAATAGAGTTACACAGATCTGTTAATCCCAAATTGAGGATGGGGTACCTAGGTAATCCCAGAATACTATGAGAGAAAGTCCATACACTGAACAATGTATGGATCAGCCTGTGAGTGGTACCTCTGCATTAGCTACTTATATTTGCAAGTAGGAAATGTAATGAAACTGATAAAAATTATTTATTTTCCGAAAGGAATTGTATGAGCTGACAGAGAATAAATCATACACAGTTAATATATTTAGTTGTTTTAATTGGCTCCATAGTCAGTGTATGATATTATGTATGTGATAGGGAACAAATTAATAATCAAATTTTTGGTGTTCCTCAGAAAAACATCATTTACTGAACCTTGGCTTTTGGGGGGTTTAATGTCTTTTTGATAGAGATAATGCTAGCAGGACTAAAGGAACATCCTCACTTATATGCAAAGTAAGAAGATTTTGTGGTGTGAAACTCAACAGGGCAAGAGGAAATGGCCTCAGGGTGCACCAGGGGAAGTTTAGATTAGATATTAGGAAAATTTTTCACAAAAAGGGTTGTAAAATATTGGAACAGATTGGAACAGAGTGCCCAGGGAAGTAGTGGAGTCACCATCCCTGGAAGTGTTCAAAAAACATGTGGATATGGCACTTGAGAACATGGTTTAATGGTGGTGCTGGGTTTTCAGTTGGACTTGATATCTTAAAGGTCTTTTCCAACTTTAACGATCCTATGATTCTTAAAATAGATACGTTTTTTCCACCAGTTACTGTGGCCACTTAAATTTTGACAGTATTGCTCAGCTGTGGAATCTTGACCTGTCCACGTGTGAAGCCAGGGCCTGTGACAAGCCAGCAATTGCTTTTATTTGCATTACTGATGCTGTTAAACACCCTATTTTTCTAAACTGGCTGTTTTTTTTTCCTGTACACTCAATTACTTTTATCTCTCCGCCTGAGACTGTTATAAAAATATATTTTAGGTTAATTTAGCAAAGTTCCAGAAGGATACAAATTAACTTCTAGAATATATAAGGGATGAGATTATGAAGGAGGTAATTGCTAGGATTATTTTGGTGAGTCATGACTGTGAAAGAATAGAGAATTGTATAGTCATTCATCAAGAAGAGGATGTAACATGACAGAATAAAGAGCATTTATTATGAAATAAGTTGAAAGTGAAGTTGAAAACAAGCTAGAAAACTTCTCCAGGTGCAGGAAAGATAAGTCTTAGTGGATTTAAAAAATAAAAAAGGAGGTAGTGGGTTTGATTGCCAGCTCTGAAAGGTCATTATGCTGCAGGAGGATGTGCTGGAGACAAAGCAGAAATAATAGTAGGGGAAAATGAAGCTTTCAAGTCAGCATCCTGAATAAAGCAAAAGGAATAGCAGAGCCCAGGGAAGAAAGCAGGGAGCCAGTGAGGGTTTTAATAGTTCAATATGGAGTAGTAGGTTTGTGTTAAAACAGGAAGAGCAAATTAAGGGAATTGGAAAGTGGACTCACTCACAAAGGTTATGATCTCAGCAGCTGTATTTTTGCATCACCTAGAAAGAGGAGATACGGGGGGAAGTTAAGAGGGAGAATGCTAAATGACAATTAAAAGCATGGAAAATTCAGATTTCTTGTCCACCCCCTCACCACGTAAAAACAGAGAAGTGGATGGCTCTTCAAGGATTTTCATTGAATGGGCTTGGAGGGGAGGAGGGGGGTGGACTGTCAAGGTGATGGAGGTAATTTTCAGAGTGCTGCCTTGCTGTGTCTGATGTGTTGTATAACCTCAGGCATTTCATTTATTAGGTTAGTTGTTATGTGTCTGTATAAAAGTTGTTACATTGGCTCTGTTGCAGTAAAGGAAGATTTGTTCTGAGGATTTTTTTGTTATCTCTTATTCTAAAAGACGTTGCATCAAAAAGGTTTTATTATGTTGTGAAAGATTTCCTTCCAATAAGCACACAACATTCTTCTTCAGTTCAAACGCACTTTGATTTCCAGCAGAAGATAGTTTTCCTGCGTCACCAACCAAAAACACAAACCTTTTAGATTTCTGTTTGTATCTACTGATGAATGATTTATTGTTTCAGAAAGAAAAGCACATTAAGGATGAGCTGTTTCTGTGGTTCTGTTTGGGTTTTTTAATTAACATCTGTTATACCAAGTTAGAGTTCTCCTTTAAACGCTTGTTCTTATCTCAGTGGATGAAGAACCAAGCTATCTTTAGTTCTTTGAAAATGTGTATGCTGTATTTTTGTTATGTATGTATCTACGCTTTTTCTGTAAAAAGTGCAATAAATTGAAACCATTCAGCATTTTGAAATACAGCCAGACTACAATTTTGTGGCCTTGGCAGCAGTTGGAATACAGTGTGCTTACCCCAGGCCTTTGCTATATGCAGCCTGAAAGTTTCTTGGCAACACTTAAAGATTTGGCAAGATGCAGCAATTTGAAATATCACTGATGTACTGAATGTATATTTACTCCATATACCTACAGTAATATGAATATGATGCACCTTAAATAGCCTTTAATCAACCAGTATGCTTCTACTACTGCTGAGCAAAGTAGTGGTGATAAAAATGTTTTCAGCATGTAGTTGGAGATGTATGGTAATGGCAGCCAGCTCTTGAATATCTATTTCATTAAATTTTCTGGAAGTGCATTGCACATGTTGTCCCATTGTGCTTCAGCAGTGAAAGGATATGCGTCTGTACATTAGGTGCTTCTCTTTTGTGGAGGTGGCCATTTTAGGCACAGGACTGAATTAACTGAGCAGTAAATCTTTTACTTTGATTGCTGTTAACTTGGCCAGTGAAGAAAACAGAGATTTACTTATTAGACCAAAATACTAAAATTTGCAGGGCAAAAAAAATATAACTTCATGGGACTTATGATTACCTAATTTTTTCAGGTGCCAATCCGCTGTTGATTTTTAGGATTGGAGAGTTGTACAAAAAGAGGAGGTTATCTTGCAAAAATTGCCAATTTTTTGACTCTCAATATGTTTCTCAGGTGACTGAGAAACATGGAAATCATGGGTTAACTTTGCCTGGAAATAACATTTAGAGGTCATCCAGTTCAACCCCTGACCCAAACCAGGGCCAGCTCCAGTTGAATCTTGAATATCTTTTTGGATAGAGATTGTAGAATCTCTCTGGACAGCATCTTTCAGTGCTTGACCAACTTTATGGTAAAAAAAATAAACAGTTTTTTTTATCCTTTTATCTAATTGGAATTTCTTATATACCAGCTTGCATCCATTATGTCTCATCCCATCTCACAGACATGTGAGAAGAGTCTGTTTTCATCTTCTCTGTCTTACCTGATCAGGGAGTTGTAGGCAGCACTAAGGGCTCCCCTTTACCTTCTCTTCTGAAGGCTGAAGAAATTCAGTTCTTTCAGCTGTTCAGTGTCTGTCTTGTGCTCCAAACCCTGACCATCTTGGTGGCTCTCTTCCAGACTCACTAAAGTATGTCTGTGTCTTTCTTGTAATGGAGAGCCCCAACCTGAACACAACTCCAGATGTGGTCTTGGAAGTGCTAATAGAGAAGGATTACTTCCCTGGACCAGCTGGCTGTACTTGATACAGCCCAGGATGTCATTGGTCATTTTTTGAGGGTACACTGATGGCTTTTATTCTTTTTGCTGTCCACCAGGCCCACCGGATCCACTTCTATAGAGCTTTTACCTAGACGGTTGTTTCTCAGGCCACACTTTTGCATGGGGTTATCCCATCCCAGATGTGGGACTTTGCATTTACTCTTGTTGAACTTCGCGATATTTCAGCAGTCCAATCCTGTTCAACATCTTCATTAATGACTGGGATGATGGGGCAGAGGGCACCATCAGCACCTTTGCTGATGACACCAAACTGAGTGGCAGGAAAGCATCTGAGGGTCCTGGTGGACACCAGTTTGAACATGAGCCAGCAATGTGTCTTTGGGGCAAAGAAGGCTAATGATATCCTGGGTTGTCTTAGGAGTGCTGCCTTTTGCCAACAGGTCAAAGGAGGGGATCCTTCCTCTCCACTGGTGAGGTTACACCTGAAGTCCTGTGTCCAGTTCCCAGAGAGTTCTGCAGAGGGCCAAAAAGATGATGAAGAGACTGGAACATCTTTTCTATGGGGGTCGGTTGAGCCTGGAGAAGAGAAGCCTCAGTGGGAGGATCTCACTGTACATATCTGAAGGGTGGACAAAAGTAGATGGAGCCAGGCTCTCTTCAGTGGTGCCCTGTGACAGGACAAAAAGCAATGGGCCCAACAAAACAAAGTATGTTCCCTCTGAACATCAGGAAGTGCTTTTTTACTGTGACCAAACACAAGCACAGGTTACCCAGGGAGGTTGTGGAGTCTCAATTCTTGGAGATGTTGCCTGGTCATGGATAGTGCATACCAGGAACTGTCTGGGTATGACAATGCTGGAGCAATTGCTTGTGCCATAGGAAAGCAATGCTAAAACTGGCACTATGGAATCTTATACCCTATAAATTTCCAGACATATGGTTCCCTTTTTAACTCCTATCTAAGTATTCCTTCTCCTGAAACAGAATTGATCACAGAATGGTTGGTTTGGAAGAGACCTCTGGAGATCATCTCATCCAAACTCCCTGCTAGAGCAGATTAACCTGGAGCAGGTTGCACAGTATTTCATCCAGGCAGGTGTTGAATATCTCCAGGGAAGAAGATTCCACAGCCTGTCTGGCATCCTGTTCCAGTGCTCAGTCATCCTCACAGAAGGAAGTTCTTCTTCACATTCAGGTGGAACTTGCTGTGCATCAGTTTCTGCCTGTTGCCTCTTGTCCTATTGCTTGGCACTGCTGGGAAGAGCCTGGTTCCGTCCTCTTGGCACTCTCCCTTCAGATACTTATAAATATTGATGAGGTTCCCTCTCAGTCATCTCTTTTCAGTCTGAACAGGCCAAACTCTCTCAGCCTTTCCTCATAAGAGAGATGCTCTAGTCCCTTAATCATCTTTGTAGCCTTTCACTGGACTGTCTCTGAGAACCCTGTGGTTTGTAATTTCCTTGACATGAGAAAATGAAGGCACCTTCTGCATGAGTCTCTCTTGGCTTGAGAGGGACAGCTCAGCTGTGCTCAGCAATGCTTTGAAAGGACCATGATGTTTGGGTTTGAATATGGACATAAGGGAAAGCTCTTAAGTCACTCGGAGTTGAGGGACTCAATCTTGACATCAGAAATATCTTTTTCCCTGAAGGGGAACTATAGAGACTTACTTCAGGCTTCACTTGAGAAGATGGTGGAACCAAAAATCTGGCTGACAGGTTTTCTTTTTCAGTAGAGGCTGTGTTATTTTAAGTAGTAAAAGCTTAGCGCAAAGGAAAGGATTTTTCTCCAGGTTATTGTTCTCACATACCTCAGCCAAACAAGTATGTGCATTCAGAGAGAAGCCTATGGCATTGAGGTAATTTTATCTTCAGGTCATTTGCATTGAAACTGAATGAACAACTTTCCCTAAAGCTCAGCACAGCATTGTAAAATTTGCTCAAATATCTAAACTTGCATGTAAGTGAGTAAATATGCTCGATTTGGATTGGGGGAGTGTAACTTTTTAAACCTTTACAGGAAATATGCTCTGGGAAAAAGCTAGCTATATTAGCAGCAGTTTGGAAAAATAAAATTGTTTTAATCAGAGAATTAGTTTAGCAGTAAATTGTTTTCTGAATACTTGCTGAGGGAGTATTGTAACTATAAAAAAAAGAATTTAAGTAAACAGTTTTGCAAACTTTGCTAGTGCCTAATAGTTTTCCGCTAAAATAATAGCAGCCTATGAAAGCATGGCACTTATCTGTAGCATTATTACTGTTTTCAGGAGGCTGCAGCCACCTGAGCTACAGGATCATGAAGGCTTTATATGTTGGTATCGTATCTATATGACATAGTTTTCGAGGGTTTTTTATTACAATCAAGGGTAAATTTGGCGTTATTTTAAATACAATGAGAGTAGACTGTCCTGCTGACTGTTATTTTAAATTATTCAGGAATCTGAAGCTTTGTTCCTCAAGGCAATTAAAGCCAATCCAAATGCTGCCAGTTATCATGGTAATTTGGGTAAGAGCCTTTCTATCTCTTATCAACTGTATTGTTTATTTGCTTCATATTCATTGTTCTTAAAGAGAAAAAGCAATCTTTCAAGCCTTCTTCCTGCTGGGCAGATTTCTATTTTACCTTTTGGAAGAACTGCCAGCCAGAAGAACAGGGCACTAAACCAGAAAAGCTGTCACATGATATGACAGATCAAGAGGGCTGCACAGTCCAGCCCAGAGGTAGCTGCACTTCAGTATCTGCAAACTGGTTCATTTATGCTATGCTTGTAACCCGCAATGAGCTCACCAGATAAGAGCTGCCATTTATGGCTGCATTGTAATTCATTCCTTCATCGTTCTCATGCCAGTTCTGCTCCCAGGCTTTGCTCCTGCATTTGGCAAAAGAACAAGCAGCTACTGTGCCACCAGCCAGTGACAGACCCTTAACTGCAAACAAATACTTCAGTGGTGTTTTCCAAGTGATTGGCAAGATTGCACATTATTCAACAATATTGCTAATGAAATTCCCCATTGATGTTCCAGCCGTGCTTTATCATCGCTGGGGAAATCTTGACTTAGCAAAGAAGCACTATGAAGTCTCTCTGAAGCTTGATCCTATGGCGCCTGGAACCAAGGAAAACTACAACCTCTTAAGAAGAAAACTGGAGCAGCTGCAAAAGAAGGGCGGTGCCTGATGTTCTTTTCCAGGTTGTCCGTGCATGCTGTTTAAGACTAATGCTACATGGCTACTTTTGACCATGTACAGGATTCAGTCATTATTTCTCAAAAATGATAACAACCACCAGCACCACACACTTGAATGTCCAGTTTTGCCCTCCTACAGATCCTAACATTTCAGCTTAAGGGATCATTTTATTTTTACTCTCGAACTGCTTTTCAAGTCCATTACAACATTTTTATATGTATATGAAAGCAACGCAGATGGAATTTCACAGCTTACACTTGTCATTTGATATCTTCATGTGACATTTTAGTAGAAGGATGAATAGCAGAAGGTGGTTTTATTTCTGAAGGGGATACTTAAAAGTGCAATTTCCTGTTTAAATCCTGATCTTTTCAAGTATAAAGAATATCTGTTCACTTCAGTTTTATTACTGCCTTCTACTGCCAGTCCTGCAGAGCCAGTGAAAGAATGGATTCTCTCCAGCACATCAGTCTACTCATATAATTTTGGTTACTTGTTTCTGTCTCAAGACTGTGAAGTGTTGGATTTGTACAGGAGTAAATAAGGGCAAGGATTTGACCATAAATGTCTGTCGGCCAGTGTACTGCTGAGGTATGCTTGAGTGTAGAAAATATTCTTAGATTAAAATGGAGATTTTAGCAAGCAGCAAAGGGAAATGAAGTGTGAGGCAACAGAGGAATCAGCTAGAGTTTCTGTTCTTGCGGGCAGCCTCATCTAGTACAGACAACATGGCAACAGGTCAGAATTGCTTTAGGTCCTGTGGCAAGTCAGTGGTCTAAATGCAGTATAGTGTCTGCAGGAGCTAATTGCCGTGTTCTTAGGCATTTCAGTGCTTTCTTGTTGAGGACATTACACCTTTCAGCTCCTGTACTGCTGGCGAATAAAGAGGTAATTTCTGTGACAATACAACTGTGCAGAAGATCTGACCTTGGCTGTTGATCTATTACTTGGAAGGAACTTGGCTTCACCTTTGTCTCCCACGGCTTGTGTGTTTACTGAAGGGACAGATAAATAAGAATAGCTGTTAATGCATAAACTGGGCAGATCGATGTGGGATGATTCAGAGGTGGTATATGTTGATACCGTGATACCTCTCAAAAGGGGCCATGCTTTAATACATGTTTGAACTCTGGCTGTCCAGAGTTGTTTGTCATGTGCTAATATTTACATTCCTGCTTCAGGAAGTAGTCACATGTCTGTATTTGTGGTGGTTGTTTTTTTGGTTCTATTTGTTTGTTTTGGGGAGGTTGTGTTGAGATGGGTTGGTTTCTTTAAGATTGAAAGTTTGCTATTACTTTTGAAAACTGAGGAGCTTTACCTCTCTTTTAATATTCCTTTATTCTTTCCAACCATGTCCCCTTGAAGAAATTGATCAGTGCAGTATTTGCAGCTTTCCTAATTTGTCCAATGATTACTGTATAGGTGATTGTGTAATGTTCTCCATAAACAACTCATGTATGTGTGGAACCATTTCAAGTCTCCGGTAAGTTCCTGCCACAGGGCAGGATGTTGTGTGACCTTCTCATCTGACCACCATATAACCATTCTACATCTATAATATGATTTGAACCTACAATAGGCTGCTTTTATATTATAAATTTGCTTGGAAATGGCAGTTGTTTCAATAACTGTGTCTACTGAGCACACTGCAATACTGCAGAGCTACCAAAGCATCCTCTGGCAAAGCTAGTTCAGGTACTACAAGCTGTGCAGCTACTTTTACGTAATATTTTTGCCAGATTAGCTGTAAATCTACCCGGCAAGGCTGTTGCAGTGGGGTGCTGTCCACAAATTTGGCTTTGAATGAACTAATCTGGCTACATTATATAGTATGCTGCTGTACTGGTTTTGGTTGAGGCACCAGAGGCATATATGTATGCTCCTCTCCTGCAAATACAGCCTGTTTCTCAGCAGGACTAATTAGTTCATATAGGATACTAAGTTGATGCAATTGTTTTCATTTCTTCTGGTTTCTGGACGGAATTTTCAGAAACTAGTTTCTAAATATATTTGCAGGATATAAACATGCTCTTTGGTAAGCATCTGGTAAGCAGAACACTGCACCAGTACGGCCAGTCATCTTCTGATGACCACCATAGTTAGCCAGTGCCAACTTTTGTATCTGAAAGGTGCTGAAATAGATACACTCTTCAGTACAAACAGCAGGCTTTTAAGGCTTTCCATACGTAGCCCACTTTTCATCGATATAGAGAACATGTAGCTTCTTTGGTCATGAGGAATTAAAGAGTTGGGGTCTGGCTGGATGAGTTAATTTATAGCAGAAGATAAATGTGTTTAATATAGTCAGGTCTTTTCTGTATATTTGGAATAATACATCCTGAGTTTAAATTATTCTCATCATAAAATCCACATGCGTAGTTTTCCCTGTTGCTTTCCATATTAGCTTTACAAAAATCCAGTAGAACAATATTATGTATGGGGTATGAATTCTTTCTAGATCATTATAAACCAAAGCTGTCATAGAAATTCCTCTGTGGAAGTCAGTTTGTCCTTCTACTCAAAAGTCTTAGATGCAAGAGACAGACAAACAAATCGGATGTTTTGTTAGTATTTGAAAATGGTTTTTACTTTTCAGTATGGACAAGATGATTTCTTCTTGATTAGCTTTCTGGCTACCTGTATATATTTTTGTGAGGGTTTATTTGTTTTATATAATTTTCAGTGCTATAAAAATTCATTTAATTACTTGTATGATGGTAATAAGAAGGATACCCTTATATCTGAGTGTAATGTTGAGGCAGAATTGTGTTCAGAAGAAGCCACAAAGATGACTGCTTTTCTAATTAAAATTTCCTTAAGACTTTCAAGAATATTTTTTTTTTACTTTATTTTCAGAAATATTTTGAAAGTGCGAATAATGCAGTGGATTTTATTAAAATGGTTATAATGCTAACCTTTTGCTTGGTCTTTCATACCTCATAACTGACTCCTGGAACACTCAACCCCAAAGAGAGAAAGGTGAAGAAAAACTGGGTTTGTACATAACTGTTGTTACAAACACTGTCTTTCCAGCTGGATTTTTTTCCTATTGCTAATTACAGAAGATTAAAGTTTCCTTATCAGCTGGCCTGCTTGATTCCCTAGGGAAATTAAGAAGCCTGGTTACTTTTTTCTTCTTGTTTGTTTTGAAAAATTGCTTGTTCAAATACGGTTCTGAGGAGAGAAATATGGAATGATGCACAGAATGGAGTCTGAAAAATAGTCACAATGATTGCTATGGATGGCAGTCTCTTTTCACCAAAACCTTCCCTAATTATATGTTTCTCTCATGTCTAGACCAATGCCATGTACATTAAGTTTCCTGTTATTTAATTTCATACTTAGTATTTAAACTTTGGAGACGTGGATTGTGTGTGTGTTTATGGGCACTGAGAAATAAAAATCTTCAATACTTTTGAATGGTTTCCTAAAAATATTGGGCCTGTTCACTAGGAACTCGTTTCCTTCATATCTGAGATACCTGCATCTAAGCTATTTATCCTAGTTTCTCTGTATAGTCACTGGAGGTGGGGAAAGGTAATGTGAACTATGATTCATCTCCTAAAGGAAGCATCTTTAGGATGTGAGGAGTCATGTACTTGAACCAGGTATTCACCTTCACTAACTTCAAAGGATAACTAAGGTGATCAGCTCATATACATGAAGAAAATATCCCTTGATGCTTTCAGCTGAAGTAATCTGGTCCCATGCACCTCTAGCATTCTCATACATTAGTGGCCCCAAGAATGTTAAGAGATTGGCATTGAAGCAAACTGGCAGGTACTTGCCTTGAGAGTTGGAGAGTTATAGTAGCTGGATGAGGGAATGGGATAAAACACGTTAGGATAACTTTGATAAATTTACATGACTGATAAAGCAATGAAACTCTGTGTATGAAAACAGAACATTCAAGTCCAGTTCTATTATTTTCTATCTTGTCTGTTTCTGTAATAAATGGTAATAACTTCTTATTGAATTGACTTTTGGCATCCTTCACTCTTACTTTAAAAAGCAATCTAAAGCAACTGTAAGTTTGCAAAGGTGAGGTGTTTTTTTTTTCTTAAATTGAAGTTGCCATTTCAGGCTGTAGCTGTTACAATGTTAAATGCAATAGCATAGCCCATTTCAGTATGGTGAGGTGTTTTAGTTTCAATATCTTGATATTTATTTGCTAGTTCCTGCCTGTGTTCCCTATTTCATGTGAGCATTGGTGCATTTACATACCTGTTGTTACATGTAGATACCCAAGTGTTTCTTGGCTTGGCCCTTTCACTGAATAGCACTTCTGCATCTCTTGGTGTGTCTCCACCAAACGTGTTTATGAGGGCACATATAACTCAAGAAGACTAAAATTTACTAGAAACAACAGTGAGATCACATGGCTGGATTTCTGCTATGTAAACATCAAGGGAGCCAAATTTCTGTCATGTACCACCATAAGAAGCAGGTGCCACTAGTAAGGGGCACTTCAGACTCTGTGCTGGACTGCACGATAATGTGAAGTGGTTGTACATAGGTGTAATGTTATAAACACAGCAACTTGGACTCTGTGCTTTAAGGAAAAAGGACCATACAGCCACTCCAAGGAAGAGGATGTGCACAGCTGCATGGGCTATCAAGCACTGGAGGACAGATGACCTTTGTATTAGAATGCTGCACTGCAGTGTTGTGGCATGGGTGTTCAGTGCGTGTCAGTAATGATACATATCAAGTGGTTCAGGGTTTTTTTAAAACAAATTTTTTTGTTAGGAAAAAATCTGTACAGGTATTGTGTAGTTTATGATTTCTGAGATGAACTTTTTTATGTAGCGTTAATCATTTAGATTGCCAGTAGTATGTTCCAATTTATTTTCAGCTGAGCAAGAAGTAAATACATTTGTAATTAAGCCATGAAATAAATCTCCATTTTGCTATCTTTTTTTGCATAGCTTTTAATTGTGACAGTGGTTTTTATTTTTGTAGTAAGTTTTTGATTCAGGGTTCTGCTAAAAGCCAGGAAGAAAATCTAATGGGCCTGGTAGACTGGCACTGAGACATACATAGGAAGACGTTCACTTGGAGTAACAGTTCAAAATCTTGATTCAGCATGATTGTATTGATGTTGAATGTGTGTGCCTAAACAACAAAAAGAAGCACTTGAAGAAAGTGATATAATACATAACTAATTCAAGCTCTAAAACAATAAAATATAGGAAAAAAAGCAAGAGCTACTTCCTCAAATGCTGAGCAATCTTGTTGACTGCCAAAATCAGATTCGTTTCCTGGTGTACACCAAGCCAATAATTGCACAATCAAGAGAGACATCAGTTATTTATTTCACAGTTGCACAAGCCTGGGCGCTCCGTGGTATTCCACAAATCAAGCACACCATCTATCAAAACCTCTTACTATTTATACATTTTAGCAAACAAAGGAATAAGTGCTCATTGGCTACAAGTTACACAGTTCTCTTCCTAATTAGTATTCTACCTTCTATTTGTTAATGACTCTCTCGTTTCTTATTCTAATTAGTCCACACACTGAGTCTTTTCCTTTTGGGTTGGTGGTCACAAAAACCCACTGCTGGAATTGCCTTTACGCAGCTGGAGCTGATTTCAGCACAGTTGCTGAGTTGGGTTTATCAGTTTCTTCCTTATCTTGGGAGTTCTGCCAGATGTATTTGTGGCCCATAAATTCTGCATTCTTTGTGTCCAGTATCAGTGGTACATCCTTCTTCCCAAGCTTTGTTAACCCCCTAGGTCTGAGATCATTGAAGCATATCAAGCCGTAAACTTTTAACAAGGCAATTCTACCAACAAATAATTCGTTTTTCTAATAGCCATAGCCTGCTTTGAGGTCTCCCCTGTCTCCTCCAGGCTGAACAAACCAAGTGACTTAAGCTGCTCCTGGTATGGCTTCCCCTGTAGATCCTTCACCATCTTTGTAGCCACCCTTTGGATGCTAATAGCTTTATATCTTTCTTACATTGTGGTGACGAAAACTGCACCCAGGACTCGAGGTGAGGCCACACCAGTGCAGAGCAGAGCAGGACAATGACCTCGCTCGACCGGCTGTCGACGCTTTGCCTGATGCCCCCCAGGACAGAGTTGGCCCTCCTGACTGCCAGGGCACTGCTGACTCATATTCAACTTGCTATCGACCTGGACTCCCAGGTCCCTTTCTGCAGCACTGGTGAACCAGTACTGAATCGTTCTATGTCAGTGCATAAGGATACCTCACTCTTATTCCTCCTAGCAGTGCATTCATTTTCTTACAGTGATTTTACTGTGTGGAGCCTTCACATGCTTTGCTGAAGAGCAGACCAATCCCTACAGAGCCAGCTTGAGGGAGTCCTCTGCTGGGACCTGGAAGCTGCCAGCAAAGACGGTAAACAGAAAGGCACTTGGCACCCTCCTACTTCAGCAGACCAATCTCTGTCTGCAGCCAAAACCCCTTCTTCTTGAGTAGTCAACAGCGTCTCTAAAATAATAAGGCGGTTTTTAAAGCTCCCCAAGAGCCAGACTGACTACCTGTGGTTGCACTGCTTGACGCACGTTTGTTACGGCCTCCAGAAGGCGAGGCCCCGGCACGGGGTTTTGGGAGCGTCTCTCCCCAGGAGCGCTGGGCGCTGCTCCTGCTTTGGCAGCCGGCGCCGACTGCCCCGCTCTCCCGGCTCCGGGCCCGGCCGCCCGCCTCCCCGCCAAGCACGCTCCGTCCTCTGGCAGCCGCGCCGGCCCGGGAAAACGACCCCGGCCCCGGGGCACCCGGCGCTGCCCCGGCCGCGGGGGAGGGAGCGCGGGCAGGCACCGCCCCACGTCCCGCTCCGCCCCGCCGCCTACTCCCTGGAGAGGCGCCCCGGGACGGGCAGAGCGCGGCGGCCGCAGGCGGGAGCGGAGGCGCGGACACAGCAGCAGCGCTGGCGAGTGAGTGCCCCGGGCGAGCGCCGCCGGGCCGGGCCGGGCCGGGCCGAGCGGGGCGGGGCGGTCCGGTCCGTCCTTCCCGCCACGTGGTGCGCGACCCCACCGGGCAGTGGGGACGG